AATATGTACAGTGAAGGTGAGGCACATAATGTCGCCGGCGACAATATGTACATATGTTACTTTTCAGTCGGCGACAGTATGTACCAATGGATGACAATATGTGCAGTGAGGGTAGGTACATATTATCGCCGACGACAATATGTACAAAACGACAATATGTACCGTCAAAAATCCTCTGTTGTGTAAAATCATCTTTTTTCTTGAGCTGTTTATTTTTTTCCGGTATGGAGAGACCCACAAATTCATGTCTTCCACGAAAAATTAAAATGAGAAACTTTAATACCATATATTTTATGCAATCTTAAAATAAAATCCCCACGAGCGAACAGATTTTCCTCAAACCAAGAAAATTTGACTCTATCCAAATAAGTAATTTACAGTTATATATTCATGTCACCTCACCCCCCCCCCCCTTTCTGACTTGATCGCTTGCTCTTGTTGCCGACCTGTCTTTGTCTATAATGATTTATATAAATTAATTCAAATGGAGATGCGGCAAATGCTCTATTTTTTTGCTAACTTGTTTGTTCACCATTTCTAAGTAAAAGGGAAAAATACAGCTAAGCGGATTTCTTTACAGGGAGTAAAATTTGGTGTTTTTTTTTTTTTTTTTTTTTTTTTTTTTTTTTTTTTTTTTTGCTCGAAGGAATAGCACGAATTTTGTCGAAACTTGATTTTCAAAACTACACAGACCCCGTTTTACATGACCTCAGCTGAAATGTAGAAACTTTCTTTTTTCCATTAATATGAAAATTAATTTCATCTTCTGAAAAAGTAAGTTTTATTTTATAAAAGCAATTTTGCACAAAAGTATCAATTTGCAACACGATTATCTATTCAAATAGATGCGTGAAATTTCAGAGTCATTGTATTAATATACATCACATCAATGAATTAACATACATGTGTTCAGATGTTGAAGATATTTTGAAAATAAATAATCTCGAAAGAAAAAAAAAAGAAAAATAGAGGAGATTCGGGTTATCCAATACCTATTTAGATTAACTTTTATCTCAATGTGATATGACCATCTTGTAGACCTTCTGTCGTGTCCACTTTTTATGTAAAAAGAGAAAGATCAAATCTAAGCACTGCATGATTGGCAACAATATATTTTTTATTCTAAATGACAAAGTAAAGATAATGACCTTGACTTGACCTTAACCTTTTAATCAAACGGTCAAATATAATGTTATTGATGCCATCACCTTGTGATATTGTCTTGAAGTTCTTGAATCAGTGAAAATTTCATTGTTTTTTAAAATATGTTAAACACGAGAAGAATCCCTCCTTAATTTGATGTCATTATAGAGAATAAATATGAAAGACAATTCCTCAGTGTATAAACTAATTAAGTACTTGTATACTATAACTAGGACCCAGAGATAGGTTAAAAAGAAGGATTAATCATAAGATCTTGAACTTGCATTCTAGTGTATCCATTTGGATTCTATGACACGGAATGTGATATGAACTTTCGTATGCATTGCTTGTACACCAATAAATCAGAAGATGTGAACCAATATTAAGGAACTTGTCACGGAAACTTCTTTTATCGTACAACTACCCCTTATATTGACCTAATAAAGGTAACCTAATAAACCAAAGCTTTATTCGGTCAATGCCCTAATAAAGCCTTGTGCACGTATTCCGACGTTCTAAAAGCATTGTGACGTCATGAATATTGCAATGTTTACGCCATGGCGTCTTAGTTTCAACTGCAGAGATGTACCTAAATCGGTTGAAAACATCGTTTTGGAGGTCATGTAAAAATGTGTTGCAGGATAAACAAAATAGATGGAGACTGTCTTGAAATATAAACGATATTTGGGCTCGGGTCGAAAACGTGATAGAGGGCTCGGCAAGCCTCGCCCTCTATCACGTTTTCTTACCCTCGCCCAAATATCGCTTATATTTCAAGACAGTAACCATGTATTTTATATATCTTCGCCTGTCCGTCCTTTGTTTAGTTGTCTCCATGTTTGTCAACCCGTCAGTTTGTCCCATCTATTATATTATGGACTATTCCATAATTCAGTGTATATCTTTTCTGTCCTTCCCACATTTTTTTCCAAAAAAGATGTTATTATTGTACATTATTCTATATTTCAAAATCATTCAAAAGCAAAAAAAAAAAAAAATAATAATAATGATAAAAAAAATTAAATCAGAAAAAAAAATAAAATGGGAAAGGAGTGGGGGGGGGGGGGTTCAGGCAAAGTATGTATATATAAATAGGACAATGTAAAATAAAAGCACATATAGCAAAAGATTTTTTGCACTATATTGTGTACAAAAGGATACAAATAAGATTAAAAATATTGGGGAAAACCAGCTTGTACTTGTGTTCCAACGTGTACGTACCTTAAACAGTTTCACATGTATTGTACGCAACAGTTATAGATTTATTGTAAACTTTATTTGTACTGAAGTTCGCTACGACTTTACTTTGTAAGCAAAGCATTTCATAGTTAACAGGTAAAAGGCTTAGTATATATTTTCTCTTTGTTTTCATTGAAACTGAAACACCAATCCATCATGGGCATTCCCTCTAGGTGTTGGCATACATGCTGTCCATATTCAGATAATCATAAACTGCCTTGAAGCAAAACTCGTAATCTTCCTATGAATCAAAATTTAATTCAATTTAAATGTAGCTTATCTAATTTAACTTATTAATGAATTATATTTTAAAATCCATTCTTAAATGTTCCAAATCTATTTTAATTGATAAATATATAAATTGTCTAAGCATAAATACATGTACCACATACCTTTGTAGATATCATTTCCGGTCTGCGGCACTGCAGTTGCTGTACTATGGTTAATAGGTCAACCTCGTCATCTTTTTGTAGTTGTTCTATTGCATTATAGATAGCTATGAATACTCCACAACACGTTGCTCCATCCCTAGTAAAAAGAAAAGAATCTAGTCTTCAACAGAATTTATAGTAACAGAAACATAATTTGCAAAACTTAATCATCGTCATCATCATTATCATCATCATGCAATACTTAGGAAAAGGCATCCTTAAGCCTTTCATATATAGGCATAAAGCATTCAGCTATTGGAAATATTAATACATACTTAGAAACAAGGGTTATAGGACCATCTGGATGAGATTTTCTATCCAAACAGAATTGTTTTATTAAATTTGTCATCGTAGAGGTTTCTTCTGGTAGAATATTACGAAAACTCCAATTAAGACATTCAAATATCTGCACTGGATGCAATTTATTCTATAGATAATATAAAACAAGATGTGTTTGTGAAATACTAATGCCCCCGTATGACAGCTTCCTGCAAAGGTTAAAATTAAAGTTTCTCAAATGCAAGTCAAACTCCAAGGTCAAGAGATCAAAAATGATATAACCCAAAGAAATGGATGTGTCAATGGATGTACCTTGTAAATCTAAAAGCCCAAGCACCAACCATTCCAAAGTTATTGTCAAAGTTAATGTTTTCTTCAAGTGGGTCAAACTCCAAGGTCAAGGTTCAAAATTAATGGTATGCAGGGGACAACCTCTCATTAGAAATACACATGCAAAATTAAAAAAAAAATAGCACCAATTGTTCAGAAGTTATGGTGTAGGCTAAAGATTTTCAAAAGTAGGTCAAACTCCAAGGTCAAGTTCAAAAGGTTAAAGTTGTTGAAATTTGAAGGAAGGTCTTGATATAATGGATAGATCTGTTAAATTTAAAGCCCTAGTACTAACTGTTCAAAAGTTATGGCCTGTGTTAAAGTCTTTAAAAAGTGGGTCAAACTCTCATGTAAAGGTCAACAGGTCGAAAATATTTAAACCCATGGAAAGGTCTTGTCATGATGAATACACATGTGAGAAATGAAAACCCTAACCACACGTGTTCAAAAGTTAGGGTCAAAGTTGGTTAAAGTTGGAAAGATTTTTGCAAAATAGGGTTAAAGTCCAAGGTCAAGAGGTCAAATATGTTGGTTCTCAAAGGAAGATCTTGTCAAAAGGAATAAAAATGTGAAATATGAAAGCCATAGCTCCAACCAATCAAAAGTTCTGGGCAAGGTTAATGTTTTTGCGGACAAACATACAAACAGGCAGACAGACAGACTGACGGACAGGTCAAAAACAATATACTCCGAATCTTCGATTAGGGGGGCATAAAAACTGGTTTGTAATAATTTAACCTGTTTATTATTATATTTGTTTTTGGTTTATGTTAGTTACATAAATATAACTCAGTCAAAATACTTGAAAACATGAAAACAAAGACAAGAAATTACATGTATTTCTGTATGAATATCCATTATGACTTCAATGAACTCCTTCAATGTTTCTCATCCCGGAATTATCATATAAATTTCTTGTAATGATTTTTCTTGCTGTAAAATCTTTCGATCTATTTCCTTTATCAGCACTGTCTTGCAATTATCGAATGACGACATTAACTTACATGATTTCGTTTGATTTGAATGTCCGTCTTCCGCAAAATGTTTGACACCATTGCCTGTGTAATCATTGTGATTTCATATGGAGCCAAATTAATTTTCTTCATTCTACTGTCAACCCAATCTTTTATCTTGCAAAAGAGAAAAAGTTATACGGATAAATGCAAATTACACGAACTCTTCATTTCAATCTATTTAAATCATAAATTACCTCTTTGATTTCTGATAAAGGGTTCAGCGAGATCAAGAATGTTGAATTCTGATCAACCAGCAATCGAGCAAGATCAATGGCTGCTCCTGATACCGGATATTGCGCAGAGATAAACTCCTCAGCTCTGGTAAACGACTTAAATAAATATTTCAAAAAATAAATCTGCAAACTTTTAACACTTGCTCTGAAATAACGATACTGTATGAAAAGTATAACTTCCATGTATTTTGAATTTATTGTGTACGTTGAAGTGACATCAAAAATACTCATTATAAAATGTAAACAGAATATTTATAAAATAACAGAAGTCATTTTAAAATGAGTTGAAGCATAATAACATGAAAAGTCTCACATTTCTTTTTCTATTCATAACTGATTTAACACTAGGATATGACAAATGATAATTACCGAGACATTCACTGCATTGTAGTACTGCCCTCGTCCCTTCACAGTTGATGTTAAATACACAATGTATCTTTCAACTGAAATATATTCTAACATATTACAAATTGCTTTGCCTTATCAATTTGAATTTCTATCATCTAAATTTTCACACCTATTGTTTTTTTTCCTTTCACAAAACTTGATTTTTAAAGGCCTATTTAAATTAGTTTTCATTTTTTGAAAAATTACATTACCTGGTAAAACAGAAGTGGCAAAACTAAGCTTTATGTGCTGTCGTCCTGTTTTGAAATCGTCTGCTGTGTAGTTTGGCTTTAAACTTGTTAATGCCTTGAAATTGAAATGTATTTTTAAAGAAAATACAGTAATAGTAAGTAAAAATTTCTTTGACCTGTAGATGACGTAAGCTATAAATATTTATTGGATAAATATAAATATTATACATTATCATTGATTTTAAAGTGATTTTTAATTTAGACAAGAATTTTCCTGTAAGGATTAATTTGGTTCAAAATGTTCACAATACTTTATTGTAATGTCTTGTATTCGAAGCTTTCTACTTTCTTAAAACTGACAACCCTGATAGAAATAAATGTAATTGATTGTCTACAAATTTAACAACAAACTACATTTTAGAAAATAGAATTATTTCACTATTCCCTATCAAAGTCAAAACAGTAAGTGACCCTATAAAAAGTGATTTTAATAATAAAGATATCAGGGTGAGTGCTAAGCCTGGACACAGGTAATGTAAGCTCTGTCAGTTTTTACATTTCTACGCCGTTCATATTGTAACTACTGACTGAATGAAATTTCGATCTCAATTTATTGAACTGTATTTAGGCAATGTCTCATTTTTTTCTTTCTTCAGAGCAGTTGTTACCTCATCATTTGGGTCTGATTTATATTAATCTTAAATTATCAGTCAATTTAATTTAATTCATTATCAATCAATTTTATTGTTCTTCTCTAGTGGCAGGGCAGTGATATACGATCCCGTTTTATAAAGAACGTACAACTACGATCGTAATCCCATTTAGCAAAATTTCATTTAACAATTTATCTTTATCATGAATTTAATATGAGTAAGAACTATTCAATTAATATTGGTATAAAAGATTTTTCCCCAGCATGTTTATAACGTTAAGGCAATATATATATATATATATATATATATATATATATATATATATATATATATATATATATATATATATATATATATATATATATATATATATATATATATATATATACACATACATAACCTGAAACGTGCTACTACCCCAAAAAAAGCGTGTAACTTTCGTGCGCTTTTCGTTTCGTGCAAACCGTGTAGCGTTTCGTGTAAAACGTGCAGCGTTTCGTGTAAGCTCCAGAGCGTTTCGTGCAAACCGTGTAGCGAGCGAGCGAGAAGCGTGTGAGAAACGTTCGACTTTCATGTAAGAACCGTGTGAGAAACGTGCGACTTTCGTGCAAGAATCGTGTGAGAAACCTGTAGGATTCATTCGGAAGTCATTTCATTTTAAATATGGCTATCAATGGGTCAGGGTGTCAAATATTGTTGTTTATAGCTAATATTATTCGGAGATATTATATTGGATGTATTTTAAGAGTGAAATTTAAAAAAAAAAGTATGAGAGCAACAAAATAAAATTACACGGTAATGTATATTTAATTTGTTTTCCTTTATTTTTTCTCTCAAAAATAAAGATGGACATGAAAATTATTCAAATTAATTACATGTAATTACAGTGTATATGCAACATTTTAAATGAATTGATTTTAATGCACAATCGGAGTGATCATATCTTTTTAATTTTATTTTCCAAAGAAAGCTACAAACGAAATTTCAAACGAAATTTTATCAGGACTCCGCTCTTGTCTATTTATTACCAGATTGTATTAAATAATTTTAATCAAAACTGTGTGTCATTAATAGTCTTCTATCACATAGCATTGGTTGATTAATAATTGAAAAATATGAGTATAATTCACAAGCATTTACGAACGCATGATTAGAAATTACCGAGAGGGGGGGGGGGGGAGGGCGCATTTCAAAAACGCAAGCTTTAAATTTCAATATTTGTCGGTACCGGGTGTTAAAAAGCATAGATGACTTTCTTTTGTATAAAGAAATAAATACTTAATTGATATGGTGCATCGGATGCACCACTTAAAATATATTGGAATATTTAAATCTTCAACTTTCCATTTGCAATGTGCGGCTGTGATCAAGGTCATTTACATGTACAACAGCGACCACGGGCTCCACGGGCAGGGAACTGAAAATTTGTTCTGCTTTTATCTTTTGTCAATCATGGATAAAATACACCCGAGATTAACGATTGAGTTTAAATTTGTGATATTAAATGCTTATTTTTTTTTTATTTAATTGGTACACATAATACTCGTTGATTTTATTTTTAATCGACGTGAATTTCCGTGATCAGTGGATTGTTCGGCAGTCACAATAAAAAAGTGTTTAGAAATAAATAACAATTACATATCAGTTGTTTTATAAATCATGCAGCTTTAATTTGTATTTTTCAAAAATATTCGAGTTTTCATGTAATGTACTTGGACATATATACACGAATATTGCGTGGTGAGTTGTGCCGTGACTATTTGTAAATTACCGAGTTTTATAATGAAGGAACTTACAAGGTGATGGGTACATGTATATTGTTGACATTTTAGGTACATGTAGAGAGAGCTAATTATCCTTAACACCCCTCTCCCCGCGGGTTTCTCTTCCATTCTTCCATATAGAATTCTAATGTTAAATTAAACTCTTTAATAAAACGTTTAAATGTTAAAACTACCATTAGGTATAAAATGTTTTATTTTATTAAATCTCGCTGGAGACATGAATATTTTTAAGCACAGTTACTTGTTTCTCTAATATTTTTTTTCCCGATAGTATAATTAATGAAACGACTGCCGGTGGTCTTTAGCCATGTCAGATTTACAAATACACAAGTAAGATCTCGGTAACCCCTCCTCGCCACCCAACCAAAAGAGATGAAGAAAAAATGCATAACCATCCTCTTTTCTGCAATGTACTTATTAATTTTGCATATTAAAGAGGTGAACCTGAATTAATTAAATAAAATAAACTTACCGCTAAATCATAAGAAAATCGATCCGTTCATGGAAATAAACACAGTACAATATTTATCAAAATTATTTACTAAAGTTATATTTCGCTGATAAACGAGTTTTTTAATATAATACTTAAAAAAAATAATACCGAAAGAAATTATGAAGGACAAATATAAATGTATCTCTTGCAGTGTAAAATTTAGTGAAAAAAGATGTACACTGACGATGATGGGCATATCACCTTAAAAAAACAAGCGGATTACAAACGGAAAGACAATCATGAATTATTAACTATTAATTTTTGAATATTTCCAACAGTTTATGAACATGTAGTACAAGTGTAGCGCGTTTGAATTTAAAACGTGATGTGAAAGATTGCGACTCTTAATTAATCTATATTTAACCCGTAAAAAAAAAATAATAAGTAATGCTCGAGAGATTCCGAATAGAAAATCCAGATCGAGGCCAAAGCGTGCAAGAATCGTGTACAAAGCGTGTGAGAAACATGTACAAAGAGCTTCGTGCAGCCTTTCGTGTAAACCGTTTAGCCTTTCGTGCAAAGCGTTTCGTGTAAACCGTGAAGCGTTTCGTGCAAACCCTGTAGCGTTTCGTGTAAACCGTGCAGCGTTTCGTGCAAACCGTGTAGCGAGCGTGTACCGTTCGTGTAGCGTGATTGTGGGGTAGTAGCACGTTTCAGGGTCTACATATATATATATATATATATATATATATATATATATATATATATATATATATATATATATATATATATATATATATATAGCTGTTGACTTTTCTGGACTGTGTAGAAAGTTTGTTCATAAATCTTGAGAGATTTTTTTTTTTTTTTTTTTTTTTTTTTTTTGGCGTTTAATAGATCACAACTAATTCTTAATTTAGAGAATTTGTACCCTTCTCGTAAAGAAAGACGAATAGAGGATCCGGAAAAAAAATATGCAGAATAAGAAATAAAAAGTTTTATCTTGACCTTTCGGGCTTAGAGTCAATAGAGTTTGTTTTAAAATGAAAGACAAATATGGCCTTGAGTTTCATTTCAAAAGCTTACAGAAAATAAAATTATATCATGAAATCTATATCTACAATAAATAAATTTCTGACCCTGGTCTTTGACTGTTTGACCTCACATCAATGGCACTTTTTTCAAGTTATATTGACGAAAGGTATCATTTTTTTTATTGCAAAACCCTGAGGAAAGGTAGATGTCTTACCAGGAAATCATTTTAATCAAAATATAAATTTTTGTCCTTGATATTGTGACTAAAAAAGCAATCTTCCTTAAGTCATTGGGGGATATGATGAACAGAATCAAAGAAAAAGCTTATGAGAACTAAAGTCAACATCCGGATAACATTTTTTTAAAAAAAATAAAATTTTTGCATGAATTTCATACCTGACATTTCACCTTTTAACCTCAACGTCAATAATTCCAGTTTAAATCACAAGGAGTAAAGATGATAAGTTTATTGAAAAAGCTCGAAGAGAACTAAAGCTTTCATCTGGAAGTCTGTTTTTGCAATATCTAAATGTCTACCTTGATCTTTTGAAATTAAAATCAACTGATGCTTCTTCTCTGTCATAGGATGTTATAATGTAAGATTTTGATGCAAAATCTCAATGCTTTTTTTAAATATCGTCCTAAAAAGAAAGTGTGACACATAGACAGAATGTCTGCATTTGTAACCTTGACCTTTAAAATTTTTACCTCAAAATCACAAGTGCTATTTTCCTGGCCCAAAAGGAGTTTTGATATTAAATCTCATTGAAAAAGCTCAATAAACACTAAAGTTATTTGGAGACTGTTTTTTGCAATGTATGAATTCGTGATCTTCTTTTGATCTTTTAGACACAAGATTAATGGGGCACTTGATAGGTGATAGGGAATTTCATCTCAAAATCTTAAAGGCTTTTAAATATACCGTCCTGAAACGAAAATGTTACACAGAGATAGATTGTTTAAATTCCTGACCATGACCTTTGACATTTTTCACATCAAAACTGAAAGTCTTCTGCTTTTATACCCAAAGGGAGTTGTGATATTAAATTCCATTTGGGGAAAAAAAAACTCAAAGAGTATTAAAGTTATTATTTAGAAACATTTCTTTATATTGTATTAATTTTTGACCTTGACCTATAAAATTTTAACCTAAAGATCAATAGAGGTCTTTTGTAGACCATTACGAGTTTTGATATAAAATATCATTGCAAAAAAGCTCAAAAGCTTTTTGAGATATTGACGGAAACGAAATTGTTACACAGAGGCAGACCCATCTACCAACGGACCCAACGGACGGTCCCAAAATCAATATTCCCCATTTTCAGTGAAAGCGGGAGAAAATCCGATAAAATATCTTTATTTGAGAGTCTTGAAAATCTCATTATATTTAAACTGTCGTAAAGTAGTTTTGAGAATCAATCATCTGATATGTTGAAGTAATATTTAATTTCTAAAGTTTGGAAATTAAATACTCACATTGAACTCATTCCTAAGTCGTTTCTTTGTTTCCGGTTTCTCCATTTCGCCATATAACTCAATAAACTCCGTCCTGCTGATGAAACCCCCCTTTCTCCGGAAGCACTCAAATAGAGCGTGGTAAAGGAAGACGTATTGATCCTATAATATGTTGCAACTGAATTTATAGTATGAAACAACCTTCACATGATCTCAAATAGCATATTGGATACAGTCAACTGCATTCCTTTAATAATGATTTTTTTCTCAATTATACTTAAACGGAAATGCCTTCAATTTCATTAAAAAAAAAAAAAAAGCTTGCGCATTGCAAGCAATACAATAAAAATATAAATACTACGAATAAAAAAAATACCCTTCACAATACAACTGAAAACAACCAACTAAACTGCCTAATGGTGTGCTATCGAACGGGTAACATATGCATTGAATATCATTGCTTCATAAAGGCTCCGTTGCACTATTACTTTGTTTCGTACGATAGGATGATAAGTATTTAATTAATTAGTATTTGATCACAAGATAGTTTTAATAAAAATACAATTTATCTCATAAGATGACATAATCATTATGTATCCTATTTCTCTTACAAAAAGTAAAAAAATAAAAAAAAAATAAAAAAAAAAATATTAATTTCATTTCAAAATTCTTTTCCCCTTTATTCATCTTTTAATCATAATGTTTTATTAATTATGCTCTATTTAGAGACTATATACAATTTATATTTTAAATCCCTTTGAATCTCTTATAATTATATTCCCAGAAGACAGATCATGTAAAAAGCTAGGGATTTTAGATGGGGTACTTAGCACCATTTACTCATATTTATAAGCAATACAAAAGATACACATAAACTAAGTTCAAGATTTTCGCCCACTAAAAAAATAACTTACAGCGTTTTGAATCATGGTCATCCTATCTTTACGCATGGCTTTAACAAACTCAATGACGTTGATTTTATCATGTTCTTCTCCGTATCTGGAGAGGACGTCCAGAGCAATGAACGTTCCCGTTCGACCGATACCAGCACTAATTAATAAACACCAATAAAAAAATGATGTAATTAAGGTAAAAATCTAGTAAATGTGTTTATACTGTCCGTTTGGTGCTAGATCGAATATGGCATCATTTTGTATTTTTTTTTTTTTAATTAAGCCTACTTTTTCCCGTACTGTGTGGCTATTACTGGATTATGTAGAAAATAAAACATTTTCATGGAATCATATGAAAATAACCCGGATACCTATATTCAATTTAAATATTATTTTATAAAGGTGTAAAACACCTTTCTAAGTTTTCTTTCCTGCGGATCCGTAAGCAATATGGTCAGAAATGTAAAAAAAAAAAAAAAAAAAAAAAAACCTCCTACGTTTATGACTGATTTTCATCAATTAATAAAGAAAAAAAAGGAAAGTTTTAAATATACCTTTTCCATATTAACCTAAAATTTTTACATCTATACAACATTTTATACCAAGCTATAGCTAAAGAGGTTATCATTATGGCAATAAAGTCCTCAAATGTGAGAAAGTTTAGACATCTTGAATTTACTAGATCTTGACCTTAGGCAAAATGTATTAAATAGATTTTGGTCTTCATTTGCTAAAAATATGAACTCAGACACCTGCAATGAACAATAATTGGATGTTGGGAGGGTCTAATTTTATGCCGGAAATGTCTGAGAAACACGATCAGGTTCAAAGGATTAGGTGTCCCATGGTCTGGCCATCTAGTGAAATGAAATTGTACGACCGTCCTTGAACCAGTAACCTAGTAAAAAGACGTAAACTGAAATTTATGTTTGTAACAGAAGAATGATTCGAACGTATCGTACGTTAAACAGTTTGAACATTATATTGAAAACCCACCCTTTTCTTCCAAAGATTCATTTTCCTCACAACATAGTATGCATATATTTTTTCTTCAATCAACTTCACAGAAAAAGCACCGAGATTCAGTTCTTTGCTCTCATTTGGCCAATATTGATGGCATTTCACCTTAAAATAAGATATTTTCAACATATAGAAATCGTTTCAATGAAAAGGATATCGGAACGACATAATCATTTTAACTGGATCGATCGAGAAGATTGTATGCGAGAAAGAAAAGAACGATCACAATGTAAAAATGTTACATTAAGCTATTCATGTATACTATATGTTTGATCTTCAAACCTTGGGTCCTTCAATGAGATTGGTTAACATTACAATGTATTCAACGTGTTCCTGCCATATCATTCTCCAGTGGTCAACAATAGTGTTACTTCGTGGACCTACCGGAAATATATATATATATATATATATATATATATATATATATATATATATATATATATATATATATATATATATATATATATATATATATATATATATATATATATATATATATATATATATATATATATATATATATATATATATATATATATATATATATAATCATCAATTCGTTATAGACTACATATTAAAATGCTATAAAATACGCTAACAAAAAAATTATAGTTACAATGTAGTTTATTGAAGTTGGCACATATCCGTCTTTTATAAGCATTTGACCTTAGAGCTTTAAAAAGCTATTGGAACTATTATGAAACGTAAGGCCTATACCTTGACAAGCTATATACTCGCGCTTCCCATCCATATTCTAAACGAAAAAATATAACATTACTCTTGATTTCCAACATAATTTCAGATGTTAAAAAGTAATTGATCCTTTCATGAAGCTTTCTTTTTATACGTACTTCAATGTAATTTGCATTTATATAATCTGAATCAAATCCGTCACTCATTTCTAAAATAACTCTGGAATGATCATCTGAAAAACAAAATTTTATATTTTGAAAAAAAAATACAAAAAAATCCTAGTTTTAAGTTGTAGAAACAAAAACAAAGATATATGATTGTTAAAAAGAAACTTAAAGTTTGCATGACTTTTTAAATACATCATTTTATGCATTTTTATATGCATGTTCCTGAAACCGAAACGTATTGCATCAAAGCCGTGTTTCGAGTTACTCCGGAACGCCATTTTTATTCCTTGTTTCGCCACGCTGCCTCAAAAATGTTCCTCGACGTTACTTCCAGTAATATTCAATACCTTGTTTATATTGAAAACTTTTATCATTAACTCTGTTACTGTTATGCAAATTTCCTTTAATTTGCAAGCATGGCATTGTCTAGAAAATATATTTACACACACAACTTTTGTTGTCCTGGTAGAAAAAACTCAACAAGACGTCAATTAAGATCTACAGGTGCGACTGAGCAAAGGTACGGAAATCCAATGGTTTTATTGAGAGTAGTGCCAACCACATTAGATGGTAATTTTAAAAATAATGGAAAACAGATGAAGTTACTTGTACTATGATACGTGTATCTTAAAATGAAATGCAGTTTGAAAGTGTCACTCGTGAAGTGGGGGGGGGGGGGGGGGTAGGATTTCACTTTTATTTTTAAGAAATAATGCAGAAATTAAAAACATCTATTTCAGTTTCACTAAAATTTAATTAATGACACACCAGAGATGTTTGTCCTAATGTTATTTCCCAGACAGCTTCAGTTTTGTAACTATTTGAAAATGAATTTTAGAGAACTCTTCACAGAAACACTGATAAATTTAAAAGATAGGACTACGGCATAAGTATAACTCTATATACATGAAACTTGGCTGTGTCCATTACAAATATCATTGAAATAAGTTATACTAGGTCTTTTAAGGAAATGCGCGGCTAGGATAAGTCTGTCTGTATAATATCAAACTGTTCCAACTGCAGTAACTTTTCTCTACGCTACCAAGATATGACGTCATAAAAGCGAATGACGTCAAGTCATTGCATTCTTGAGCTGACATGACGGGGAAGTGTCACAACTTTAACATTTCTTTCACATGACATGTAAAGTTTTTTTTTTTTTAGCGTTGTTGTTTGATTCAAGCGTCTGGGTTGTTCTTTAAGCTTAAGTGTGCTGTTATGATGTTGAACATTTCCAATTTAATATCGTTATTCCTTTAACTTCTCCGATATACATATATTCAAACAATAATAGAAAGTTTACTGTGTAACGCTCCCCCTTAAACGTCCGTGGACAGAGTTAGAATTTATAAATCATGTATATATTTGACTGGCACACGTGATTAATAAGGATAGATTGAAGATATTCTGTGTGAATCTACTAGAGAAGTATGTCCTCTAACTGAATTGTGCTGGGGGGTTGTATGTAATTTTTCCTATTTTGTATAAATTGCGATAAGAGTGGAAAATGTCCCCTTGTATATGGGTAAGTGGAATTTCTCGTGGAATATTTTCTGAAGAAATAAAATTCAGACTTGTCCCCGGCACTTTATACGTACCAAAAATCACAATGAATTGAGGTATGTGACATTTTTTTCTCAATAATGTTGTTAACTATAGTGAAAACTTTGACACTTTGATTTACTATAGTGAAAACTTTGACATTTTGATTTACTATAGTGATAACTATGAAACTTTTGAAAAACTATAGTGATCACTATGAAAACTTTGAACTACTACTGTGAAAACTTTGATTTACTATAGTGATAACTTTGACACTATAGTGATCACTTTGAAAACTTTGATTTACTTTAGTGATCACTATGACACTATAGTGATCACTTTGAAAACTTTGATTTACTATAGTGATAACATTATACATTTCATTGCATCTGTAAGGCATGGCTTTGAAAGTTTTGTGTACGTTATGATTTTCACAAGATTGTTTATGTATACCTGCTAAAGAAACAGGAACGTCTGCTGTATAAAATTATCATAATGTAATATATATATATATATATATATATATATATATATATATATATATATATATATATATTTTCTCTGTATTCTCAGAGTTTGAATAAATTGTTATAGACTAAACAATAAAATATACAAGACAGAATCCATATCTTTATTTTTTTTTTTAGTTTGTTAAAATGAAGGTATTAATTATTGTACTAAATTTTATATAGAGTGCACGTATTTTTTAGCAAGATTATTTAGGTTGATGCCCATTTTTATGCTTTAGGGAGAAGAGCTTGTTTAAGTCCTGTCAATCAGAAGCTTGTTGTTTGTCTTAAACCTTAAAACTTACTCTGCACTCCTCGACCGTATCAACACAGATACGATATTTGGCTTATAGAAAAAAATTTGGACTGCAGTGAAACATGCAAATAAAATTGCAAAACAGTTGGACAGCATTTTTTTTTTGGCTTAATACTCTCAGGTTGTCTTAGTATCTGAACAAAAAAAATTTAAATACATTGAAGAACTGTTTTGTATGTTGCTAAATGGTTTTAAATATTTCAAGATATTAATTTTATTTTCATGGTATATGTGTATGGACATGAAATTTTGTAAATTGATAATTACTGCATATTGGTACCTGCCATAACAGCCACTTTGAGGGTTATTAAGTTTGTGTTAGTTAGGCAGGTTTAGTAGCTGGTAGCCAGATAGCCCAGTTGGTAGAACACCTGACTATTGATGCAAGTGCCGTGTCTGGGTTTTGAATCCTTGTCTCATCCGTCACATTTTTCTTCCATCCAGTTACAAGACTCAGTGTATGTAGATGCCTAAATATTACACAATTGATGCCTGGGTTTTGAATCCTCAGTTGATTTTCTGTGGAGTATTTTAGACACCACTAAGGCAGTACACTCAACTTTAGATTGAATTCGTGTCAAGTTTTATACACTTAATACAAGGTACATGTATTTCCTCAGTGTACATCATTCGAGATCTTGGACAGTTTTCGTGTCAAGCAGTAGCAGAATTTTTTTTTTTCAAATTGATATATTGAATTAACGGATTTTACAAGTTTATATTGATGCAGTTTAAGAAACCAAACAAGTCTTTTTTTTTTCATTTTTTTTTCAAAATTCTAGCATTAAAAAGCCTTGGTCTTGTGGTGGAATCTGTAATGTTAACAAATAATGAGAGGATGACATATGAGCTGATGTTCCCAATTGTCAGCATATGTAGAATTAATTTCCAATTCATCACATATTGGAATAATGTTTAAATATGTGTTACAGTCATATATACTTTGAAAACGTTGTGTCTTTATAAAGGACGCAACAATAATATGTAAAGTCTCCTTTTCCCTCCTCCCCCTTTTTCAGTCGCTTCAATTCCATCCAATGACAATTCACGACAACTTATGTTGGCACTAAACGTTCTAGAATGAAAAAAAAAAAAAGGAAAAAAAAAAAAAAAAACATGTAAAACTCAAAGAGCAAAATGCAACAAAGTAGTCGTTCAACAGTGTTTTATTATGTATTATTTCCTAAATTATGTAACTAATACCGATATCGCGGGATACATGTACAAGTACTGGTTTTATCTCAGAGAGGAGAACCCTAGATATTTTAAAATAAACGTACATTTAAATATATTTCTACCTTCATGGTAAACACATTATATTACACACATAAATAGACGATTTCAGACGTACATCATCTCGATTTCTGATGAAACTAAAGTAAACAACTCGAATCAAATGTAAACTGGAAGTAACCCTGTAGAACATTTTTCTAAAATCACATGATCGGCGTTACTAAACGGGGAATAACGGGTTCCGGCATAACTCGAAACACGGCTATTAGGATTTTTTTTTTATCATAGCCAATAATTAAACTTACATGTTCGAGCCTATAAATCAAAGCCTTCTATTAATGTCAATTAATGATTGTTTATAATTTTCAAGAGCATACTCAAATGAGAAAACATTTAGTCATATTATTACATACACACTTATTCACATAAAAACGAACCCTTATATTTTGGTTTATCATACCGATTAACGCACAATTTATTACATGAAGCAATGCCTAAAATACTTGCAAGGAAATGTTGTTTTAAATCTATTTTTTGGCATGTTATCGTCCTGCTTTGCAATGGTACAGTCAAACCTTTCTCCATAAGGAAGCGACTAAACAAATAAAAACATTTCTATAGGCATGTGAGGATTTTCAGTACGTTTATAGGCAGACCATTTAAACACTGCATTTAAAATGCAATTTCAGAAGTGATATTTAAGATACATTTGCACAATAAGTAGATTACCAAAATATATTTTGATTTTTCATTGTACCTACCTGTAATTGATTTGTATGATATAATGTGCAATACCTTGAATTCTTTGATAAATCCTGCGTTTTCATCTGCTTCTCTTTGCTTTATCACACCATGTATATCTTTTACGGGAATATCTTTAGCCACTGTTAAGTTTTTATAGTAAACAGTTTCTTCCGGATTCTCCTCGTAAGGCTCTTCTTCCGGATCTTCTAAAGGAGCAGCCGCAGACATGATGTTGTTATATACTCTGCTTTGAGCTATTGTACATGAAGAAACATTTCGTTCTATTTAAAATTATTGAATTGTATTTATTCACAGCATACATGTATCATTGAGTTTCTTTCAAGCATAGCGTGATGAAAGTCGAATTCGTAGGACAAAAACATATTTGTTTAAACAATTTTCTCGTACAACTTATTATTGTTATCATTTTTGGCGATTCGAGCAACCTGACAGAACTTTGAAACAAATAAATGATACAAGTATTTATTACATTTTTAATAGTGAAATACTGTGATTTATTCATTGAATAAAACTGATATTCTGACACACTGTGAGAGAATATAAAAATGATATCCTTTCACAGTATGAGAGGACATCAACCGGAACTACTTTTTATATTTCTTTGAGGATGTTATATCCCTTGATTACTTTTTCAAATTCTATCATCAAGTTTACTAATTAAGCCCCTTTTGTCTTAATATGAAACAAATTCAAAATACTGGAACTACTTTTTTTTATTTCTACATTGAATTATGTCCCTTGATCCCTTTCTCTTATTTCTATCATCAAATTATCTCCCTTGGCTGAGCTCTTTTGTCGTCTGTTTCAATAATATATATGAAAATGGAAAACAATTACCCTAATGACAACAAATTTAACGAATTGGATTTAAAAGCAATGGCAGGGAATCAAATTGACACAGACAATGACTTAGATGCCTTTATAGAAGACTTAGATGAGGAAACATTAGCAGGAATCAGTTACAACATAATTGGGGATTTTTCAGTTAATCTCTCTCCAGCTGGAGATCAAGTTTCAGAAAAGAAACGCTTTGCTGAGGTCAGTTATGATGACATTGATTTGTTTCTTGCAACTAATGAGAACAAGAACACTTCAAAAAAAACTAAATGTGATATAAATACATTCAAAGAGTTCTTGCAGGCAAAGGGAGAGTTCAGGGTTCCAGAAATAATACCCCCATTTGAGCTAAATTTGCACATAGCATCATTCCTTCTCTCTGTCAAAAAAAAAGGATGGCACAGAATATGAGCCAACATCTTTGCGGGCTTACATGTCAAGCATCAATCGATATTTGCAGCAAAAGGAGTATGGGTACTCGGTTATTAATGACCTGCAGTTCAGCAAGGCACGTGATGTTTTGAAAATGAAACAAAAACAGTTGAAGTCACTTGGAAAGGGGAATAAACCCATGGCAGCTGATGACCTTACTGAAAATGAATTCAGAATATTTTATGAGAAGAAAATATTAGGTCCACATACACCTACCTCCCTTACAAATTCCATGTTTACCATTTGCACTAATCACTTTGGAATGAGGCCTGGCAGAGAAATTCATGACTTGACATGGGGAGACATTCAATTAAAATATGATGAGGGAGAAAATTTAGAATACATCGTTTTCAATCAGGAGAGACAAACAAAAACACGAACAGGTGCCAATCCCCGAGATATAAGAAAATTAAAACCAAGGGCTTATGCAACACCAGATGAACCCGAGAAAGACCCCGTTTCTCTTTACAAAAAATACAGTGATGTGCGACCTGAAGAAACCAAACAGGAAAACTCTCCGTTTTTCTTAGCAGTCAATACACGTGCTAACTTAGGTAATATTTTGAAATTAAATTAAAAAATTAATATTAATTTAGTTGTAAACATTATCATGATTATTAACATTTAAATGAAGGAAAACAAAATTTAAAATTGCAACTTAATTCATATTTAAGGAGATTCAACAAGTTCCTGGTATAAAAGGAATGCCATGGGTATCAATAAACTATATGGACTGGTTAAGCAAATGAAGTCCTCTGCAGGGATTGAGAGTGACAAGAGATTTACTAATCATAGGTATTTTAAAAAGATGCAGATTAAATTAATAATAGTCTGACATTTTATTTTGAATTATTAAAAAGATAAAAAAAAAAAAACAAAAACAAAAAAAAATCAACAGTAAATGAAATTTATTTTTAAAATAAGTGAAAACAAATAAACTAAAGAAAATATTTTCTTTTGTTAGTATGAGGAAACATCTAGTACAGAAATTATCAGATGCCGGTGTTCCAGCCAACCAAATAACCCAAATATCAGGACATAAAAACATCAATAGCATCAACAACTACAGCAAAATAAACAACGACCAAAACAGAAAAATATCGACCATCCTTACATCAGCTGATAAACCGACAACTTTGCCTACATATTCCGCGCCCCAGACAATTTCTCAAACCTTTCAAAATACCCCCAATCAAACAATATCCACTTGCCAGTCACGCATAGATTCGGACATAAGATCTATGCTTTATGGAAACAGTTTCTCGGGTCAAGTAATCTTCAACATCTCGTACGGGCACATGGCTGACAGTGACACGTCAACCTACCATCTTGACGCAAATGACAACCCTCCATCCAAAAAATACAAACGCATCTTACCTTTAGACAGTGACAGCGAATAAAATTATCTCATTTTCATTCAACATCTCAATAAAGCAGTTAAACATGCCAAACTCAATTCCAAACTTTCAAAACCCCGCTTCGATTTGTTTTTGTTAGTAATTCGTCCTTAAGTATTCATACGCGAAATTTTTTATTGATTAAGAAAAGAGAAATATTGTATATTCAATATGTTATCAATGAAATTACTTTAATGATATTATATTAAAGTTGTTTATTTGTTCAAATCTTTTGTGTTGATTATTTTGTGTATTGTTCTTATTGGCCTATATTCATCGCGCAATATTGTTTTGAATGGCTTCGACAGGGACTGAGGGAGACGGCTAATATGGGCAAAACAGAACCGGGAAAAAATGTAATAAACAGAAAATTCAATGTTTTGTAGTTGAATACGGAAGTTATTTCACTCGTGAGACAGGATTTTTTGATATTTTCACTCGTGCTGCGCACTCGTGAAAATATCAAAAAATCCTGTCTCACTCGTGAAATAACTTCCGTATTCAACTACAAAACATTGAATATCCTCTATATATGCAATTTAGTAATAATAGTAGGTAGTTATGGACAATCTGGAAACTAAAAGAACATCTCAGTGGTAATTTACAATGAGTATAATATATTCAAATATACCTGGCGAAAAATTTTCAGCACCGTTGTCTGCAATCGGTGGAACAGAAATGTTGTCATGTTTACCTCTTCGTAATCTGTGATAAAGAGTCATATTAAGTTCATGTCTTTTAGGTATGAAAAAAAATTCTTTACGAGAGGAATTTCCTCTGTTAAATACCAAACATGTTACTGTAGGATTGTTAATGTGTTGTAACGTATCTTATCTCAACAAAATATATACATAATAATCTTTTGATAATGATTTTATTGTAGAGTCCTTTACCTGAAAAGTAAGATTGCGATCACCACTATCATAAGAAGTATGAAAAAAAGAACCTAGTCCCGCTCCAGTTGCAGTCACTGGGATATCTGATTGGCTGATTTTAGACAGAGCTATGATGAGATAAAACTGTGTCTTGTTATTTATTTAGTATATCTATAAACTTCTTAACATTATCATCATACAAGGGTTGTTTTTCATACTGAATAAAACCCATACCTCATGCAAAATTTTGCTGAAAAAAAAATAAATAAAGTTAATCTGAAGGGACACAATCGAAATTGATTTATAAGAATTAATGATAAGCTACATACAGGAAATACATACTGCCATCTATAACTTTAAGGGGCATTACTGACTGAAATAAAACCATTTGTTTTTTTGTTTTTTTTAAAGAATGCATGTTTTAATCTTAAATGGTTTGATTACACAGCAAACAGTCCGACAAACTCCTATTCGTTGATAACTAACCTTAAAGTATTAAAAGCAAACAAGATATGTGAAATGTTAAAAAATTCTACATATAACACATTATAAACTTTCAATGCAAACGTGATTATCTTTAATAACACATAATAATTGCTGAAAACTTGATGGCACCTACGATTAGAGCATTGGTCGTCTAAAAACTCTCCAGAGAATCCTCCTATACAATATCTATTCTTGGAATCGCATGTCCCATTGTAACAATGTGGGCTACATCTATGCTCACAGACTTCACCGAAGAATTTTGCATCGCATTCTAAAAATATCATTTAGATGAGTCATGTCCGAAATTTGATTGAGAGATTACATTTTCATTTTGAAAAAATCTGAAAATCCCATTTGATTTAAAAAAAAACACAAAAAACTACCGAAACTCAGACATATAATTTACTGAATACTAATTTCAACATTTTGTTTTCCTTTAACAAATAAAATTTGATTTCGAAATATAACCTATTTCATCTGCAATTGACAAAGTGCGTTCGCTATAACATTTTTTTTTAAATTTGTTATACATGTAATGAATGAAATCTGTTAAAGCAGTTTTTTTTTTAATTCGTTAATAATGTAAGAACGAATCAAATTTCATTAAATGGATTCTAAGATTTGTTATTACGAACTACAGGGTGTTTCATAATATATGTTACATTTTGAATCTTCAATTTGACAAACACAAGAAAAAGATACAGACAAGTGATTTTATCAATTTAATGCATGTATCCATAAGATTCATTATGTACAATTACCAACTAAAATATTAAACACTGGACGAAATCTCAAACATTAATGAATATTAGTGAATTTTCAAAATTAACGTTTTTTTTTTTTTGTTATGTTGAATTTCACAACGTCAAAAGCCCACATTACATGTTCTAAATGATTTCCACTATTTCAACTACAAGTGAAAGTTGCTTCTTGAAATTTGTATAACCTTGTCACTCATTTTTGCTTACTCACTCCTCATATGAAGTTTTGTGTTCTTTCTGAGCTCATTCAGTATCTGTGGTCTAGGATTGTAAACCCTGTTCTTAAAGAACCCCCACAGAAAAAGGCCCAAAGATTGAGATTGGCTAATGCAGAGGTCAAACTCTTTCCTCGGGGTATTGCATTATTGAAAATTTGTACACTGATAACTTCATATCATGTTTCAAAGTTCAGTATATGC